TTTGGGCTGTCTGCACAGTCCAAAACACAGCACTCTGAGTCATGGCCACCCTCTTTACCTTGCAGCTCAAAATACCCAGCAGTGTTGCTTAGCTGACCAGAATTCTGCCATTCCTGCTCTGCTGTTATAGCCAGTTTTCTATGAGACTAGCTGCTCAGATCTATTTACAGGTTAATTTCTTCACCATCAAATTTATTATTGTCTTTTTTTCAGTTCAATCACAATTTGCAAGCTGGAATCAATGACCAAAATTCTTTCCATGCAGCTTGTAGCAGTTCACTTTCAAAACACAAGCACTGCAGAACAAACTCGTTACAAAGTACTTCATAAACTTCTGTCAGTACAGTAGGATGTAATTATAAATTATTACAGCTTTTCCAATTTAATGAGTACATTTAAATCTTGAAGTGATGGTGTTACTGCCTGCACTCGGCACTCAGACTTTAGGAAAAAAATGCATTTCACATTCACACCATGCAGAGTAACTGGTAAGCACTGACATTTTTCAGATGAGCATGTATTACTTAATCTGCCACATGAAGGAATTTTGTGATTTGTGAACTATTTTAAACACTACCGGAATTCAAGTTTTCTGGTTTATTTTTACGTCTTGAAAGAACTCCTAACATCTAATGCTAAAATTTTTGTTCTTGGTCCTCCGTGCATCATGTTATACAATCTTAATTCTCTTTTTCTTGAATAATTTGAAATTCTAGCATTTTCCACAAACACTCACTATTTATCTGTCACATGCTCAAAGTAACGTTCAAGAAATATTAACTATTTTAAGACTGTTTTTACTAGGAAGTTTTAAGGAAGTTTGTCATGAGAACGTGTTTGTATAGATTCCTCCAATTACAGCTGACAAAAATCTAACAACTAACACTGCAGAAAATAACAGGAAGAAAACATTTCTAGCATTTTATGAATTTTAAAAGAGGTAAGAGGCCATGGACTAGTTGAGAATAGAGGCTTGGTGTCTGATGCAGCTCTCTTATGTTCATTAAGCTGGGAACTGACTGCCCCCTGGTGCAGCATTTCTCCATGAAGTTCAGTTAGCATGAAACTGGCCACAGGATTTTGTAATAAAAAGAAAAAAATAAATTATTACCTATATCTGGTTGTTCTTCATTAGAAAAGTTAAATACGAACAAAGTTTAGAAAATATTGAGAAAAATGATTTGTAAATGTTTTAAGCACTGGCATTATTGGAACGGTTTTTACCTCGTTTCATTCACAGAAGAACTTGTATTCACAAAACTGAAGTGGTTCTATAAAAGAAGGTTGTTCTTACTACAGCTACATCAGCTACACTTGCCTGATAATTTCAATTGATGAGGTTGGGTGTTAATATGACACGCAAAGAAAGAGTTCTCTTAGAATATCTGTACGGAAAAGTAAGTATGAAACTTCCTCGAGCAAGCAATTACGACAGGTAAATGCCCTGTGACTAAAAACGAGTTCAAGTAGCTCTATATTAAAAAGCAGCATTTCAAAAATTGATGTAAGTTTAACCTACAACATTTTTTTCCAATATTTTATAAAGAGAAAAATATACTAGATGTAAGCAACATATAATTCACTGTACAGTTCAGCTATTGCATATTATTTATTACATAAAAAAAACCAAGAACTCCAATCTCTTACCAATATAGAAAGACACAATATTTGGATTTGTACACACTGCCACTATATGTTCTCACTGAATTTTTCAATTGTATTTGAGTCTAAATAAATGGCAATCATTTGATATCTTTAATGGAATGAGGTTACTGTAATTTCTGGAAGACACATGCAAGTTTACAAGAAGCAACTGCTACACAAGGCCACTTTCTTGAGGTCCAGAACACAGTACTAAAATAGTCTTTTATCAGTTGAGGAAAAACAATTGAAACAACGCTATTCTGTGAATTCCACAAAGAGCATAACGTATTTTTGTATGATCACATTTACAGCTTCATGGGATTAGTCACTCTTTTAACCGTCATTATTTGAAGCAATCCCGAAAGATGAGTTGTTACAGTTGTCTCAGAAGATTAAAATCCTGACTTTTCTAACACCCCTAGCTTTTCTTATCTACATAAATGTCTAGCCTTTCGCTGAGTCTTGATGTTCTCTGGTCCACTTAATTCCTCAGGGTAATTCTGCCTTGTTAGAAAATATTTTTCCTTCACTCACTTTTAGAATGGTTCCACTTCGATTTCTTTGAGTATCCCCTTCATCTTATGTTATTAAAAAAAATAGCTACCTGCCCTGTTCTCTCTGAAGAATAATCTTTCATTATTCTGTGTACATTACCACCTCACTTCTCACAGTGTTTTTTTCAATTCCTGGACAAAAGAAAGAGCTTCTATCCAAAAATCAATTATTGGTTTGTGTCTAAAAATCAGTTGGCCGTAAGAAAAACCTTAAAATGAAGCCCAGACTTTCCTTCAGAATGTAGTATCTTGCATAATTTCAAGAAATCATGCTCAAGTACATCTCCCAGCTTTCTTGTTTGCTTCATATGAAAACTTTCCTATTCCTCTACTAATTAATGAGCCAACTTGTGCTTGTTTTGTTTCTTTTAACACAGGGAAAAAAGAACAAAGCAAGTACTGGTGAATAGTAAGATATAATTGTATTTTCTTGACTTTTACCTTTTTGTGTTCCTTCCTCAAACATTTCAGTATTATGTTTACCTTTCACACAACTTTGCTTATTAAAAAGTAAGGAATTTTAAAATTCTGACATTATTTAAAAAATACAGAACTTGTCAGGGATGTGGAGGCTGATGCCAGCATTCAAAGCAGTGACCATGAGACAGTGAAGTCTGAAGGGACCAAAATGAACCCTGAAATAACAGCACTGAATTTCAGGAGAGCAGATATTGGCTGGCTCAGAGATTTACTTGGCTGGATCATATAGGAGACAGTTAGTTCTAAAGGGTAAACTGGCTCAGGAGACTTAGATATCTCCTGGGTCAACCTTTTCACACCACAAGATGCATACCAATGCACAAGATGTTAGGCAAACGTGGATGAAGGCCAGAAGGAAAGAACTGAGAACTTCTGACTTAGTTTAAATGCAAAGGGAGGAAATATGTAGAAGGTAACACTGAAGAGAAATAGAGAAGATATACAGAGACACTGCCCAAGCATACAATGATGGCATTTGGAAACTGAAAGCTCAGGTGGAGAACAAACTAGCACAGACAACAAGAAAAGTATGTATGTGTATAGGCAGCAAAAGCAAATCATCAAATTGGAGAGAGGGGTTGATACACTGGAGTGCTGGGCTGCTGTTCAGAAAAGCTCTACATGCTGAAAGAATGGACTAACAAGAACTCATGAAGTACTACAGAAGTGAATGAAAGGCCTGCACCTGAGGTGCAGCACAAAAGCCCAAGGTAGGCTGTGTGAAAGCAGTTTTGCAGAAAAAGGCCTGTGGGTCCCTCAGGCAAGCTGAACACAAGACAGCTACGCATTGTGGCAGCAATGAAAGCCAGAAGCATCCAGGCCTGTTTCAGCAAGAAGGTAGCCTACAGGTCAAAGCATCTGGTTATTCACTTCTACACAGCTCTGGTGAGAGCAGAGAGCAGTCTGCCACGTCCAGTGTAGGAAAAACATCAACATGTTTAAGGAACGTTTAGATGTTGTGTTGAGGGACATGGTTTAGTGAAAACTATTGGTGATAGGTGGATGGTTGGGCTGGATGATCTTGTAGGTCTTTTCCATTTCTGATTTCTCTGATTCTATGATATGGGAGCAAATCCCATAGATGCTGCAACAGGTGACAGGTAAGGAGAAGCTGAAAGAACCTGCAATTAAGTATCACTAAAAGGAAACAAACAAACAAACAAACAAACACCACAAGGACAGTGAAATACTTGGACAAGTAGCCCAGAGATGGTGGAATCTCCAACCTTGACAATAGTCAAATCTGCCCTGGAAAAGGCCTGGAATAGCCTAATCTTGGTCAGAGTGAGAGGTCAAGATGAGGTAGTCCTCAGGTCTTTTCCAAAGAAAATTAATCTGTGATTCTCGTCTACAATTCTGTGTTTTAAAAACAAATAAAAACATTGAAAAAAAACAATAACGCCTGCAACATAAGTATCCTGAATTTCACACATTTTTAGCCTTTCAAACACAAGAAATTGTATTAGGCATCAAGGAATGTAAAGTGCCTTTAAAAACACACTTTAAAAACAATTTGTGAAACTAAAAATTAGTGAGGTTCAAAAAACAGACTTCTAGAAAACATCATCAATGTTTGTCCAAATGGAATCACAGGAAAATATCCACTATAATCAACACAAAAAAAAAGTGCAAGAAGCCTCTAACACCAAAGCTGCACTTTTAGCTAATGCTGACAGGGAAACCTGAAGACGTAGTAAAATGTACCTCTACCCCCAAAAAAAAAACCAAAATAATGCAATAAAAATTAAAACAAAAACAAAAAAAAACCCTGCTATAATTTACTTGGGTAAATACATGCAGTGTGAAAAATTTAATTAAAAGTACTATTCCAATGCCATTCAAATCGCTAAACTATACCAGTCTCAGAAGCACTCACTTTATCCATTTTGCTAAGCATCCACATGACAAAACACAGAAAAAATAAAATATTTTTAGAAATAAAAAGAACTAAGAATATGAGACTGTGAAAATCAGTGACAGTACAGGCATTCTTAGTTAGACAGCACTGTAATACCCTAAATGGACTGAATATTCACACTTAGATTTTAAATTTCTTGCATTTTGTACATTTGATTACTTCTGTCTGTATAGTGAGGCAGTGTTAATTTATGCCTTCCTACAGGGATAACTGTTGTCTTTGCCAGCACCAGAAACTGAATCAAGAGACTCCGGAGCTAAAAGCTAACAGGCTACAGTCTCTTAACTCAGAGCTGCAGATTCATGTTTTATTCATAGAAGCAGATACCTACACACCAGCTTGTGAAATACATTCCTCTGGCATATAAAATTTGTATTTTGCTTATCAAAAATTGCAAATCTTACCTTCAGGTCACTTCCTGGCAATGTACCTATGCCATCCTTCCAGTCCATAACACTAAATACATCAAACTCCTGGCCATTTCCGCTGGAGGCAGATTCATTCATGATGCATGTACTGAGGAAAAAAAGGAAAAAGAAAAAAGATTTTAAACTGAAAACGTTACAAATGCTCATTTCACTGGATATTTCTTTAAACGAACTTCATAGATTAGTATTAAACTCTTCTTGGCATACTGACAACGTGGACAACTGATGACAATGCTGAAAATATAAGCTAATGTAAAAGCAACAAGGAAGGGAAAATCTTCTGAAAACATTAAAAAGTAATTAATCCCTCCTTTATACAGCAGGAGGCTAGTAATGAGGCTGAATTGGAAAGAAATGCAAAATCTCAAACTGCAAACAAATCGGCATAGGGAAAACATACATTAAGCATACCTAAGAAAAAACATTTATTCTGGGGAATAACACAGAAATATATTAAGAACTATTAAAAAGAGCTTATTAAGTTAAGAAGATATTAGAGTTTTCCTGAATATCTCATAACATGAAGTGAAAGCTTTACCCAAGTTCAAATTAAAATTGCAAAATGAATTTAAAACTATCTTTCATTTTCATTGTCTGACTCAGGAGACCCAGGTATTCCTTGCCTGTCTCCACAGAGTTTCACCACGTGTTTGACTCGTATTTGTGAAATTCATTTACATGTAGACATGCACAGGAAAGCATATTCCAGCTTCACAAGACCTTATTTTACCAGATCCCTCTGCTTCAGCACAATGAAAGCAGAGGAGAAAATACTTATCTTTAGAAATAGTGGATTTGGGCATACTTTCCTGTGGCAAAAGTTTATCTACACAAGCAACACCACCACGTCACTTGCCACCGGTGCCTGGCTTTGGCCCAGCACTTCTCTCTATCATGAAGTTGACATCAGTTGCACTGAACTGCAAATGGAGATAGTGGCCATTTGTGACTAGCACTAGCTTACTGCTTCTTTACTGACTGCTCCTTTCTGCTTTTTACCAATCCAGTGATCTTTAACTTTGTGGCCTGGCACCTCATTTAGTATTTGTTGGATGTGGAATCTGAATCATTGAATCCCTTTCTGAAGGGACTTCCGCATTGTGCCTAGCAATTGAAACAATTTATGGCAAAAATGAGTCATACCTTCAGTTTGTGAACTATTAGCAAAAGCTTATTTCTTTTCAAATTAACAATCCTTGAACTCTTTAACACCTTCTAAGCCTCATTTTCCATCTGCAGACTGACTACAAACTTTCCCTGTAAGTATTAGCATTTGAAATTCAAATAGGCAGGTAGGTTTCTTTGACCTTATTTTTCAAAATCTTAATATTTAACATAGATCCTACTCTCAAAATTTAGTTTCATCAAATATCCATTAATGCTCAGAAAATCTAGAACATCCATAAAGACTGAGGGTGACATCTGTTTGCTCGCAGACAACAGAAAAAGGTACAAACCAAGCACAAGTAAATGTAGATCTTTCAGAAGCTTTTGACTGAAAGTGTGAGGAGAAAAACATTTAGCTAATCAACTTTGTGGTGTAAAAAATATTTAAGCTTACTTTTTTTTTTTTTCATTAGAAAAATTGTATCGGTCAATGGAACATCACTACCACCAGCCACTACTTCAGCACTGTGTCAACAGTGTGACCTCCCTTGTGTTTCTCCTTGGTTTCCTCCTTGTTTTCAGAAGGACTGTACTTGAGTAATATCTCATTCACTGAGCACTTTCACTGCCATGACTACCATATGATATTAAGAGGACAAAGCTGAACCTCAGCAGTAAGCACTGCTCACAATGAAAGTGCCTACACTCCCCTTTGCTCCATGGGTCAGGTAGGTCTCAGCAATGGGTCAGCAACAATCTGTGCCTACAGAAGACTCTCTGACTAAAGACCACATATTCCACATGATGCATCTGAAGTAAGAACTAATGCATTTAATTTGTCTTTTCAATCCCTCAGTTTAGTTCTCCTTTGTGAGAAAATATTGAAAAACATATCATCAATGCACAAAAAAATTTAAAATATACCAATAAAATCAAACAAATCCAGTATGAACTATGAAATTCCCTGAATCCCCAGACCTTGTCTTTCAAAAACTCTCCCAGGCAAACTCACCAGCCTACCTCAGGGCAGCTCCCACAGTACAAACTGAACTTGATCTGAGCCCAGAGTACAATGTTTTGTAGATCCCAAGCCTACCATGAAGGCAGTCTTTAGCAAGGGAGCAGCTCATGTGCAGTAACACCAAACTCAACAGCAGCATGATGGCAGGAACACCGAAATTCTCACAAAAACACAAGACCCAGGCTGCTAAGAAATAGCTGAAAATTTGATCTATCTAGAAATCCATGAAATAGAACGCAAAATATACTTCTCCAAGCATGCTGGTATGACATGCTCCCCACAACTGGCCTGCATAGGCACAGACAAAGCTGTGCTCTGTATGAACTCAAGTTTCTAAGCCTTTTCAGTGGATGCTCTACTCAACTACTCTGTGGTTTGTTTATTGTGAAAAACACATTCCAAAGGTTCCTGCAGAAGGAATAATGAAAAGTGGGAAGAGGTCTGGATGGTAACGGGGAAGCACTTCCTTGTAGAGGCTGCTGACCTGCGGGCCACACTGCAGCACGTCCTGGCATCTCTGATAGTGCCACTGATATTACAGATGTGCTTCATAACAAAATCAGTTGGAAAAAAAAAGACCACGTCCAAGTGAAACCTTTTTAGCAGAAAGGTACATATTTCTCCCAAGAAAACAAACAATTTTTAAAATTAATGACACCTAACAAAGTACCCCAAGTAACAATCAGCAATAAAAATACCTCCATTGTTTGATAACATATTTGATATTGTTTTCCTTTTAAAATTAAGATTAGGGGCACAACCTGTACTTTCATATATTGATCCTCTTCAGCTTTCAGAAATGTTGGTGATGTGGATGAAAAGGTCACAGGGCAATGCAGATAGAAATTAATTTAACAAAGGGAATTACACTTAACAAAATATCTGTTTCCGGCTTCACTGAGCTTGCACAGATGAAAGACTGGTCTACATCTATCTAAAGCTGATAAGAAAGAGGGAGAAAAAGACCAATTAAATTATTACAGCGGTGAGGTACTAAAAAAGGATGAAATCCTTTAGAAAGAGAACTACAGAATGTCTTATCTATTCATTTTCATTTTTAAAGCTCCAATGTAGCTCTTTGAATTAGTATAATTTCTTCCGTAATAATTTCAGTTGCTATCATTTCTGATGCTACAACACTTCCAGAAAGTTTTTAAAATACTAGATGAATATAGGGCCAAGCAACTACAGGGCTGTGCCTGTGTCTGCCACCAAGTGCCATCTGACATGAAGGTAAGGCCATCATAATAAGAACTTGAAACAGTCATTTTCCAAAATCCACTACTAGGGATGCAACTGCATTTTAGTCTTAGCAGCTGTAAGCCACAAGATCTAGAGGAACGTGCAGTATTTTAATATTTCAATATTGACATTGCTCTAGACATACACACGTGAAAAAAAAAACACAAACGGCAAAAACGTTGAAATAAGCATGCGTGTAAAATAAGATCAAACACATCCTTTAGAAAAAAACTTAGATTTTACCAACTGGTTCAGCAACAAATGAGTACCTCACAGAACAGATACTTAATGAGAATAACAGCATTAAAAATCAGATAGATTCCCCTGATGAAAGATTCTCTATTCAAAAACTTAAAGCAAAGAAATAGGAGAGAATATGCCAATTAAACATACAAGTATTTTTTGAAATAATTACAGGTTATGTACTGAGTACGTCAGAGAGTAATAATAGAAGGATTTTTTTATTTCAGTCGGTACTTAAAAGAATTAACCGACACCTACCCAAATGTTGAAAGTCTAAGATGCTACCTGTGAAACACACAAGGAAGCACCACATGTGACTTCTACCACCGGGCTCAATTCAGAATAGGTCACTGGGCAGAAGAAAATCGATCTTTAAAAAGCAAAGCCAATAGTCAGCATTACCAGATTGGCATAACCTATTCCTTTGTATTTTTATTTTTACTTTTAAGGAATTCTGAAAGCACAGCGCCAGAACAGTTGAGAAGCTTTGCTCCAGGAGAGAAGAGGCTGATGCCAGCTTCCACCCCAGGCTAATGGCTCTGTCTTGGAGAGGTAAAATTAGACGCAAAGAGCCATAGGAGGTCTGACCAAAAAAATATATATATATATATAGTCACGGCTGTCAGGTCAAGTCTCTGGTGGCTGGAAAAAGGGAAACACCACTCCCATTTTTAAGAAAGGGAGAAAGGAAGACCAGGTGAACTACAGGCTGGTGAGCTTCACATCTGTGCCTGGGAAGGTCATGGAGCAGGTCTTCCTAGAAAAGATAATAAGACACATCATCTCCACTATGGAGATGATGCTAAACAGCCAGCATGGCTTCACCGAGGCCATATCATGTCTGATCAATATGATGGTCTTCTATGAATAAGTGAAGGCATCAGTGGACAAAGGAAGGGCAACTGATATCTCTGATACTTAAACTTGTGCAAGGACTTTGGCATGGTCCTATAACACACCCGTGTCTCTAAACTAGAATTATGGATTTGAAGGCTGAACTACTCAGTGGATAAAGAATTGGTTGGATGATCACAGCCAGACAGTTGTGGTCAATGGCTCTGTGGTGGAAGCTGGTCATGAGTACTGTCCCTTGGAGATCCATCAATGACATAGAGTGTGGGATGGAGTGCACCCTCAGCACGTTTGCTGATGATACCAAGCTGAGTGGTGCTGCTGCCAGAACAGAAGGGGGAGACACCATCCAGAGACACTTGAACAGGCTTGAAAAGCACACCCACATGAACCCAAAGAGGATGAACAAGGCCAAGTGCAAAGTGTTGCATTGGGGTTGAAGCAATCCTAAATATGAGGACAGACTGGGAGAAGGATGTATTGAGAGCAGCCCTGTGGACTGAGGGGTCCTGATGGACAAAAAGCTGGACATGAGCCAGCACTGTGCCACTGCAGCCCAGAAAGCTGATAGTATCCTGGGCTGCATCAAGAGGGGTTGGCAAGCAGGGCAAGCAGGTCCAGAGGAGGGCCACAGATGGCTGCAGCACTTCTTTTATGAAGAAAGGTTGAGTGAGTAGGGCTTGTTTAGCTTGGAGAAGACTGGGGAGACCTCATCGTGGCCTTCTAGTACTTGAAGGCAGCTTATAAGCATGAGAAGGACGAACATTTTTCAGTCTGTTAGTGATAGGACAAGGGGAAATGGCTTCAAAATAAAAGAGGGGAAGTTCAGGTTAAACACGAGGAAGAAATTCTTTACTCGTGGGTGGTGAGGTACCAGAACAGGCTGCCCAGAGAAGCTGTGGATACTCCATCCAACCTGGCCTTGAGCACCTCCCATGCGTAGCAACCCCGCCTCAATTCAGTATAGGTCACTGGGCAGCAGAGAAAGGATCTTTCAGCAGAGAAAGGCAAGGGAATTAAACTGGATGGTCTTTAAGGTTCATTCAAACCCAAGACATTCCATGATTCCATGATTATATGAAGCAGCAGGTGAGGAGGGTGAGGACAAGAGACAAAAAGAGACATCAAAGGAGGTGATACCCTTACAGCCCCTAGCAATGTCCCATATGCCTTAAAGGCATGCAGGGAGCTGAAAACACCAGTCCTGACAGACATGCAGAAACAAAGGCCCAAGTCTTTTTAGCCAGATACCACAGATGACTATTTTGGCCATCTCCAATGAGGAGACTTTTAGCAGAAAATGTGCAGGCTGGAGGGGTCGTACATAAGGGAAATGAAGCTGATCAGCAGGAGACAATGAGTATCAGAACAGCCTCCTCTTCGGAGATGATCAAAGCAGATAAAGACATCCATGCCCTACTGCCTAGAAGCCAGTGTGGTTGCAGCTCTGGTGCATTTGTCTTTATCTGCTTTATCACATCTGTGTGGGAAAACTACTAGGGCTGAATCATCATAACACTCAGGCCAAACCACCCCCCCATAGCAAATCTCCCCTTTTATTTTAGGCAAACTAGGGCTTAATCTAGCTTTAAAACAACAGTTATAGCAAAGGAAAGTTGCTCACAACTGAGAAACCAGAATTACTTCCTATTCACTGTAAACTAACCAGTGAGAGCCCATTTTTCTTCTCACGACTATCTGCTCAAGCAGGGCACACCACACACTTGTCTCCTCATCCTTCCACTTCTTGCACTTCTTGATTATGTACTTCAACAAAAACAACCCCAACAGGAACAGTGCAGGAAACAATGAAATATTTTGAGGGTACCCACTACATTTTAATATGCACTTCTAAAATATCTGCTTAATGTTTTAATTCTTTTAATGTTCTAATTCTTTTGATGTTGCCTTAAAATAAGTATCTGCAGATTACACATTTCCTTCAAAATCTCATTTTTCATCCTTGAAAAACGACTTTACCAGTTCTACTACTCTACTGTTCTGCGTGTTGAAGGACTGTCAGCGTCAATTCCACTACTTTGCCTGTTGCTCATAAAATTTATTACAAATAAGTTACTTTAAAAATGAGCTATATGTATATAGGAATTATATTCACAGAAGGACCTGAACTTAAAATCCTTGGCTCTCCTTAGCACTCATAAGAGGAATTGGACCAGATTCCCTGTCAATGTTGTCCCCTTGCTATTATTTCCTCTTGTTTTATCTCTTGCTACTTCTCTGTCTGCTGCACTCTCCAGGGACACAGTGTATGTTTGGCCTTGCTTCCTAGTAAATAGGCTTAAAATCTGTTTCCTCTCAGAAGGAACCTGGCCACAGGCATTACAAACTGCAGACCATGTTCTCTGTTAGGAGTGAGCCTGCACCAGCACTAAGAATGGATTTTGAATCTGAATCTGGTCTCTGCCAGCAGTTAACACAGGTACCAATGCAATGGATAACATTTGCAGTTACAGACAGCTTTTGGCTACTGTGTCATTTTCAAACATCCACAGAACACTGTAATATCCAATACTGATACTATTCAATCAACTAATAACATTCACTGACAACTTCCAACTTGTTTATAGAGAAGCTGTACCTGAGGAGCTCTGAGGAAGGATCTCCTCTACAACACCTCCATGACTTGTTTGTTTTCATTCCACTCTGTGCAGTCCTGAACAGGGGTTTAAGATGCTCAGATACTAAAACTGATATAAAACTCCCAATTTATTTACTCCCATTTGTTAATCTCTTCTATTTCCTTGAATTTGACACAGAATGACAGAAAACTCCCATCTCCTTCCATTTGCAGTGCAGACATCTCAGGAAGAACTGTTATGCACCAAATCTTCACACTGTGCATCACCCGATGTATGTCAAATTGTCACAAAGAGAAGTTAGCACCCACTGAGCCCCTCTGCACAGTCATGCCTGGCTCATGCCCTTTTCCTCCGTTCTGCCTGTTCTCAGCAGTCTCCATGGGGTCTGCAATCCTTAAACCATCAATTCACTGTTTTTTTCCAGCTCCCAACTGCTGGCCGCTGCATTTCTCCTTATCTCCAGTTCACAAAGCATTCCTATTTCCCATTGTGATGAGTAGCGCTACTACTGAAGCAGTAATAAGCTGTGGCTACATGCACACTATTGCTGTCTTCAGTAAATCCCATCCACGTAATCCGTGGTTCCTCACACCCACCGCTTACATTCCATAATCCTACCTGTCAGCGGTATTAAAATATGAAAGGTAACGGGAATAACCCACAAATGCCAACCCGAGTGATGCCCGACAACACTGAACCAGCCAGAGGGAAAGGGCTCACCGCGCCACCATTTTCTAGAAAAACAGAACTATTAAAAGCAACAGTGGAGAAAAACTCAAGAAATTAATAAGAACCATACACAGCAACAAACAAACCCGAAGTTCGCTACAGTTGCCCGGCTGACAACAAACGCCCTCCAATGAGAGCGCCGCGGCAGCCGCCGTCACTGGCGCGCTGCGTCCATTGGGACCGGCGGAGCGCAGCGGAGCTGCGGGGTCCCGCGGCAAGGGCCGCCCCGGTGGCGCGGCGGCAGCGCACCGGCAGCGCACCGTCCGCAGCTCTCCGCCCGCGCGGATGTTCACCGGAGCTGCTGGGAACGGGACAACTTCTGGGGTCAAGAACCGCTTTCCCGAAGGGGCTTTACGCTGCAGCAGGAAGGTTCTGCTCTGATTCTGAACACGAGCCGTTCCGAAAGCAGCGTGAAGTCGAGCGTTCCCTTCTCGAGTTGTATTTACACTTTCCACCTGATTGTTAGCGCTCGCTGCAGAGCGTTGACTCACGCGCAGAAACAAAAAAGCAAACACGCTCAGCCCAGCGCCTCTCAAAAACGAACGGAACAACAACGAGAAGGCGGCTCTCGCTCCGTGTCAGCTCACGGCTCGCACAGCCCGTCCCGCTGCCCGCAGGTCAACGCACGGCTCCGCGCGTCACGGCCTTCCCCGCCGCATCCCGCGGGGCCGCGTTTCCAGGAAGCGTTACTCAGCGCCTCCGAGCGCTGAGAAGAACGCGGCGGCCGACGGCGGTGCGCGGGGCCGGCCCGGGCCGCTCTGAGCCCCGCACCCCGCCGCGCTCGGCCTGGAGCCGCGCCTCGGAGCGGCCGCCGGAGCGGAGCGGAGCGGCGCGGGGCCCGCCGGGCGCGGCCGCCGGCTGCCAGCGGCCTACCGCCAGAGGTCCCTCCTTGGCCAGTTTTGCGGCGTGTTTTGCCGCACTTGAAACTTTGGCGGAGAAAACCCGGAGTGCTCAGGTCCGCGTTTCGCCCAGGCTCGGGCAGGAGCGCCGAGACAAAGCGGCCGCCCGACGGCCGCGAGCCGGCAGCGCTCGAACGGAGGGAGCGCGCTTCTCCCGCCGCCCCGCGTCGCTCTCCGCTGTTTCCCCCCCCCTCCTCCCGGCCGGAGAGACGGGAGCGCGCGGGAGGAGACGGACCCCCGGTCGGCGCGGGGGCGAGCGCGGTGCGCGCGAGGGTGGGAGAGGAACTGGGTGCCGAGGGTTCCTGAGGAAGTTGCACAACCAGAGAGGGACTCT